CTGGTGATTGAGGTAAAGATTAAAGCTCTCCAGTGTCTTCAATGATGAAAATAGACGTTTTCAGATTCCCAGTGTCTTATTCTTAATGTCAACGTTGGTTTATATGGGACAAAGTTAAAATACTAGCTTTCTGCAAGAGTTGGGAGTCTGGCAAGGATAGGAGTTGTCTGCCTGGCAGAGAAAACTCCCAGCGTCTGGCTCTGTCAGCATGGTGGGTAAGATCCAGTTTGATGGTGTGTGGCTGGGATTTAGTGTGTTTAGTACCAATTAAACAGCATACTTGAACTCTGGTAATGTTCAATGGGTTGTAAGGAGATTTGCCATAATTAACATAGACGTGGAAGAGTTATTTCTGTCGTTAAGTACTGGTGTTTCCCCATGTAGACATGACAGCATGCATGTATGCTTTTTGGCATTTCTAGTTTTTAACGTGGTCTCCTTAGGTTTAGCACTGAAGTGGTTTAGTGTCTAGAAACAGTGCTTTGCAGTCTCTAGCTATGCTCTGAAGGAAATTTTTGTCACTGTCACAGAGAGGGGATCTTGCAGCATACCTGTAGGCCTACAAAGGAATGCTATTATGTAAAACAGCTACTAGGAGGCTCCCTAATCCACCTCCAATCCCTGCATTAAGGGAAACATCCGCTTTACTGCACGTGAGTATTGAATTAGAAATCCAACCTGCTGTTATATCTTCCCAACCTCATGTATTGTCTTTCTTTCCTAAATACTACTCAGGTTCTGTTCTGTCTCACCTGAACTAAATACTTTGGTATTTAAAAGCTTTTTATCAAAACATTTCTTACAAGCTTGTGTGTTCTGAGGAGCAAACTGAAATGTTTCAGTTGCTCTAGCGGCTGATGCCATATCATTGTGCAAAGGAATGCTTGGTAGCTTGTCTTTTAGCAAGTACATGGTAGCAGCTAAACTTCTTGAAATGTTAAAACTTTAAATCCTTAGTTCAGGTGTGACAGTTATGTTACAGCTAATAGAAGAGAAATTGCTGTAGAAAAACTGAAATGAATACAGGTTTTTGGTAAGCTGTGGGACGCATTGCTGATGGTGGTGTTACCTATGAGGTCAATTCTCCTAGGGTTTACAGTGCAATCAATAATAGGCAGATTAATGTAGTTGAAACACTCTTGTTGCTTTGTGTCACTGACTTCTAAAGTTCGTTTTGAGAAGTGCAACAGCATCCAGGTATTTTCCTGCTTCTTTACACAAGTTGGCTTTACTAGAGAGATTTTAGAGCATTTTTTGCAGGGTCACAACTGCTGTCATGACCTAAAAGGTTACCAGCCTGCAGGTACGTAGAAATTGTGACTCAGGGTTAATAGGATTCTGTAATACACAAGGACACGGAGGGTTTTTAACTCTAGATTTTTCCGCTTTATTACAGATTGCTGCAAATGCCACAGAAATCACCACTAACAATTATATCTGTGATGGATAAAGTGAATATAGATGAGTGGAAAATAAAAATATATGTCTATGCATAAAGCTGGTAGAAATTATTGGCAGCTATCAATAGTATGTCAGCAGCCAAGTAGGTATAGTATTACAGGTTGCTACAAGCTTATCTTTAGTGAAGTAAACTTACCAATAACATAGCAGCAGATGTAACTGTGATAAATTACTTACATGCACGTATGCATATGTTTACAATAATATCAGTATCAAGCTTACTGAACATATCTCAGAATGGGACAAACCGTCCCAAAAATGGGAGGACAAACCACACCTTCCCCAGTGAGAATCCAAGATCTCTTAGGAAGTTTGTGTGGAGAGTTCAGCCTGCTTAGAAAAGGAGAAGTACGTGCATCACAGGAAATTCTCTTGAGAAAGAAGTTTCATTTTGGATAAAAATGAAGTAATTTTTATATCATTGAGGATTAAGGAGCTGTAGGACATCACCACTTGAGCAGCCAGTAGATGCTGTTAATTGTTTTCTGTTCTTTCAGGCCAATTTTTATTTTTCCAGTCTGTTTTCCTGTCGTTGCAGATAGAATAGCCAGTGGCAGTCACCAGTTCTTACTTTCTGAGTATGTTTTCTCCTTTTTTCCAGACTATTTTTCACCTTTTCAGTTGATAAATTGCTGTTACAGTTCCTTGGGTTTGTGCTTATCAGTGGTATCTCAGCATGTCTTCAGTTTCTAGGTATCCAGCTGTGTGCTGCACATCTCAAGGATGCTTCTGGTTCTCAGACCTAATTGCCAGGCTGGCAGGGATTTTCTCTGTCAGTATTTCAGCAGACATTTTCTTCTGTTAGTAGTTTTCCCCTTCTAACCAGGTCCCCTTTATGTCTGCTCACACCAGCTGCATGTCCAGTTAAGCCATGTACCGAGCCTCACAATATTTTACTGTTTCTTGCCCAGCAGGAGATAGGGAGCTGTGATTGATATGCCTGGGAGGGAAATTATGGAAATCTTGGAGCTGAAGCTTAACTTTTATGTTTTACCCTTTTGTGTGTGTGTGGAAGGGGAGGATGTTTGAATTTGGACTGTTTTAAGATGAAATCCAAGACTGCTCTGTTCTCATCGTCAAGGAAGATACTCATCTGTAAAGCTCAGTAGATAGATACCATGGTGAAATGTTCTTATGGGTTCTTCTCAGGGGTTCATGACCTCTGCTCTCACTTGTTCTGCAGAAGGACCCCTCAGGGCTGGAGAAATATCCTCTGGAAGTTCAGTTCAGCTTGGTGAAATTGTAGATTATTTCGAGGGAGAGAGCAAGGAAAGCAGGGAAGAACTCCCACCCCTCCATGGTTTCAGTTGCTTGGCAGTCTTCAGAGTATTTAAACAAACCCTGAGGTTTTGCTGTGCCAGACCACACTGCTGCCAGAGTGGCAACAAATACTGCCTTAAAGAGTTGGAGGGGCCAGAGCAGTTGTAGTGGGGTGGATTTGAATGCTGTCATGTCTGTGAGAGCCAGGAAATGCTATGAAATGTGAAGCTGTAACAATCCTTAATGATGGGGTGCTGTGGTTTTTGTTTTGTTTTATAGGAATTCCGCCTCATTCATTGTGTACCTTTTAGCTCTGCCTCTTTCCATAAAGAATCTCTGGACTGCTTGTCCTAGTGGACAAGTTTCTGGGGGTTTTATTTTGGTTTTAGTAGAACAAGATGTAGTGCAATCAGAGCAACTGGAATTAAGGAAGCTGGAAGATCTGAGTAAACTTTCAGGGGCATTGAGGTTAATTTATACTACTTGTGGTTTTCTTATGTACACACAATGCATAGTCACTTCCTCATAAAAGTAAAAAGAGTGCTTAATGGAGAATTTTTTCCTTTAATGGTCTTGAGAAGATAACATCTCTTAAAGCTTTGGAACTTTCTGTGGTAGCTTCATATTGCACAAGCGCCAGTGCATTTGAAGTGTAACAGATGTTTCCCCTCAGCTGTGCATGCTCTTGTTCTGGAACAAGGCGAGCCCTTGAAAGTAGGGTAAGCTACTTATAAAAGTAGTTTTCTTGTTGGATTAAAAATTCCTTGTGGACACGTAATTAGGAACAGCTCCATGTATAGGTATGCCCTTATGTTCATATCTTTCCATTTATTTACAGGAGAGACCAGTCTGCTGCAACAGTGAAAGTTCCTTACCCTGCCTTTGGGAATAAATTTTAGGTTCAGTTGCGGGAAGTTAACTTGGGTTTCTGAGCTCCAACTCTTCTTTCTGGGGTTACTAACAAAGCAGTGGGGAGATGACCACGCTACTTTCTGTCTGGTGGAGTTCAGCCTGTACCCTCATGGTGGAAACTGTGATGTTGTCCTATCACTTTATGTATCTTTTTCCCATCTCTCCTAATTCTGTACTTTAAACCTGTTAGTGCTGCAGGAATACAGACAATCTACAACTCCTAACTCACACAGTGGATAAAATGATCAGAGATACTGCACAAGGGCCTCCTGCAGAGCAGGGAGAGTTTATCAGCTCCTCTAGGGCTTCAGACCTTCTCGCAATGCATATGATTGGAGCCAGAGAGGCTCAGATATCAAAATCAACTGATTATCAAAGATTTACAAGGCAAAATGTGAAAAGAAACAGAAGAGGTTGCTGGAAGGTATAACATAATATGCAAACCTTGTAAAACAGTGTAAAGCCTAAACCCCTGTGTCTGTGGTGATACTGGAATTAGCGAGTATTTTCTGTTCTGGTTTGCTGTAAGCTTTAAATACATTTGCTGTTCTAGTATTTAGTGATGAGATTGACCTTAAAAACCAGCCCAGAGACCAAAGTGTAGAGCAATGTTTTTGTTTAAAGAAAAAAGAGAGTCACAGTCTTTTTGTCTTGTCTCTTGTATGCCTATCTGGGAAAAGTAACCAGTGGTGGTGACCCCGTTGTAGCTCTAGAATAAAATAAAATGAGCAAGGATACCGTAAGTGACAAAAAAGCAAGGCTAATTAGCCACAAAAAGCTTTTCACATAGTTAAGACTAACTTCTTATGAAAAAAATTTGTGAGAGCATGTATGTGTGTATGTATGTATATTGCATACTTACATAAAAATATAGGGGTGCCAGAAATTGATGGGTAGAGGGTTATATGGCATCTTATATCTATGTGAATATATGGTTTGTTTTTTTCCTACCCATAGACACTGGAAAGAAAACAGATACTCTTTTTTCCTTGTTATGACCACAGGATTTAGCAGTAGACAGTGTTCCTGCCAGTTGTTTCTTTGGGGAGTGAAGGGTATGTCACCCTGTGTTTAGATAAAAGGTAGATTTTATTCAAGGGCTTATTTTTGATACATTGCGTTTTTAAAGGCAAACTTCAGAGTTGTTTTACTCTTTGCTGAGCAGTTGTAACTAAACATTTTGTACATGATACAGCTGTGGGTTTTATGAAGTCCTTTTTAGTCCTGGAATACTTACTTTTTTTCTGGTGAACATATTTGGTATAGCACAGATAAAAAGCCCACCTAAGCTGTCACAATTAGATTTTAATTTTCTTACAGAAATACTTCAGGGTAACTAAATATTTTTCTTCCCCTTTAATTAACAGAGGAGGAACTCAGGAAGCTGAGAGAAGAAACAAACGCTGAAATGTTAAGGCAGGAGCTAGAAAAGGAACGGCAGAGGAGATTAGAACTAGAACAAAAAGTCAATGAAGTACTTAAAGCAAGGTAAGAGAAATGTATGAAGCAAGGTAAGAGAAATGTCTTCACTATACAGCTGAAAGACACTTGAGATATCTGACTGTTTCTGAGAGTTTCTGATGAAAGCATCTGTTTCCAGTCTAGGCTCTCTTAAAAATAAATGAGTAGCTCACACAGAGAGAATCTGCCCATGTTTTTCTGTAGAAGTACATCTTGCACATCCATGTACCTGAGTTACTTCACCATGCATACTGCCATAAATACAGAAGCGTTGTCACTCTTGTAGTGGGGATATTCTTCATTTCACCTTTTCTAATGTGTTCTGTTTGGGATCTCACCTACCTGGAGCTATCAGCATGCCCTGCGTGCTACTGAATGCCATTGCTTATGCTTTTTCTTTTCAAACCTGTGTCATCTCCAGACTACCCACATCCTGTTAGTCCTGTTCTAGCAGCAGCAAGGACATCCCAGTACCACAGCCCAACCCTAGAAGTGTGGGAGTGACTGAGTTTGAGCCTTCCTTGCCAGTGCAATGACAAATGGAAACATGCCTCCCCAAACCCAAAGGCCTTTCAGCCTTGAGGACACCCAGCTTTATGATGCAGAGCATAACATTTGAAGTTGTCTCTCCTTAGTTTGCCTAGCTTTATGGGCTTTAGATCTTAAGACCATAGGAGCTGCTTGACAGCCTTTTTGGTCTTACACCACTTGCATACAGAGCTGCCTGTGTTATCTTCCTCAGCAGTAGCTGAGATTAGCTGGCTGAGCAGTAAGATCTGTGGTTCACCATCAACTGCTGTCATCAGGAGATAGTGCAGGCTGAGTTGGTAATCACGTGTGATAAGCACTGGCAGTTACTTAGACGTGACAAGCAAGAACAAACAGGCAAAACTTCCTGCTTGGATATGAGGTATCCCAGTGCCATACAAACTCTTCCCAGCCTGCTGCTTCCTTCTGTACTCATCCTCAGTTAAAAATGCCTTTCTGGTCAGACCAGCAGTCTGTGTTCACTGGTATTCTGTAGCAATTGAAATAGGAACTAGTTATAGGAAATGTGAGCCTAGTTGCTTTCTGTGTTCTGTTTACTTCCTACTGCTATAGAATTGTAGAATTGTTTAGGTTGGAAAAGACCTTTATAAACATTGAGTCCAACCGTTAACCAGAACTGCCAAGTCCATCACTAAACCATGTCTCTAAGTGCCGCACTACATGTCTTTTAAACACCTTCAGGGATGGCAACTCAACCACTGCCCTGGGCAGCCTGTTGCAGTGCTTGACACCCCTTTCTGTGAAGAAATTTCCCATAATATTTAATCTAAGCCTCCTTTGGTGCAACTTGAAGCCATTTTCTCTTGTCCTATTGCTTCTTACTTGGGGGAAGAGACCAACATCCAACTAGGCTCCTATAGGAGCCATAAGGTCTCCCTCAAGCTTCCTTTTCTTCAGGCCAAAAAGCCCCAGTTCCCCCAGCCGCTACCTATAAGCATCCACAAGCACTGTATTTAGAGGTATCAGAAAGTACATTTCTGCCTTTACACTTCAATATCTGTTTGCACACCTCCTATCTGTGAATTTACTTAACCTCCTCTTGAAGGTGCTGGAGCTGTCTGGTAGCTATGGAGGCAATGTTTCAGAAGCCCACTCGTCACTCTGGTGCAGCAATTTATTTTCTTTCTTTCTAACAGATTTCTCAGTGGTTTCAAGAAGTACCTCACAGTTACAGAATTATGAGATTTGGTTCAGCACTCAGCTTGTTTACCACCCTTAGTCAGTTTTTAACTCTTCTCCTCTCCAGACTGAAGTTTCAGCTTTTCCAGTGTCTCCTGATAGAGTATGCCATCCCTTTCATCAGTTAAATTGCCATTCTTTGACTGTTTTGTCTTAAGATGAAGAGGCTGAGTTTGTTCAGTATTCAGTGTGGGTTTACAAGGCTTTAGACAGGAGATAAAGCAGGTCTTCCTTCTTACCCTCAGTACTAGTACAGTGGGATTTTTTTAGCTAACGTTTCACACTGATGTTTTTCCAAAATCAGTGGTTCCCTGCAAGGTCAGTCTGTGTGCAGGCTTCACCTGAGCTGCCAAGTTGCATGCTTAGAAGGGTCTCTGCAATGTCCTCTTGTTCCCAAGCCAGCCCCATGACCATGCACTGGGAAGGTGATCTGGACTGCTCTCATCTGGAGTTTGGGTTTTTTTTGGCATTTTTGGCATTTGACATTTTACAGTTACTCTTACAGCTGAGACGTGGGAGTGCATCTTTACTGCCTGTGCTGGTTGACTTGGCTGTATGCACGTATAACTTCCATTTTGTGTCTAAACTAGTGTTGCCTAGTTGAGTGGGCTGCTGGAGACAGTGGAAGAGGACAAACTTGGACCCATCCCTGAGCTGAGAGTATCAGTTAGCTTGATGTCAGCAGTACAGACCAATGAGTATTGTTTTCTGCTGTTGGTAGCTAAAACTGATGTTTCACGATCGCTTTTTGTCTGTGACTTGCTGCCTTGAAGAATTTGCTTGAGATGCAAATTCCACATGCTTTAGCACTGGCATAGAGCTAATGGCTTTCTCCCAGGAACAGGTATGCTTGGGCTGTAGGTCACCTACAGAGAAGGGTGAGAATGATCCCATCATTTCTGGCATCCTGGAGAAGGATGAGGAGCCAACTTCCTCTGCAGGGAGGTACCCCTCATTCTGCCCTGTGTCAGAGTAATGAGGATGGCCCAGGGTCTGATATGGCTCACTGCAGCTTGTGAGTTATATGTATTTTACAGAGAAAAGAGTTTGAAGGTCTTAGTTTATCAATGTTGGTGTCAATATCTGTGCCTTGTTGGACTGTGGACAACAGCAAATCTCTAGCAGGCATGCTACTGCTAAATTAAGGTGGGGTGACTTGTCCACATCAGTGCTGTGTTCCCATTTAGATATCCTAAGGGTTACTCTAGCCCTGTTAGCTTGGGTATTGCACTTGGGGATTACAGCCAATTATCCCCTTTCCCAAGTCTTTTTCTAAGTAGTCTTACTAATATTCCAGCCTTCTGGGGACAGTCAAGTATATGTAAGATGACAACAGAAATAAGACTTTGAAAATTTCCAGTTTCTACCCAGAAGAAAAAACAGGTTGTCTGTGGTTTTCCCTTAACTTATGCTCCATTGTGTGAAATTCTTCTTCCCTGCTTTATATCTTTTTGCACTTCACTGTAGGCATTCAAAAATGCTTCTGTTAGGACATACAGACAAAGTATTTGCTCACACGTTCACATACATAATTGCCCAGATTTACACCTGATGGAAACTTAATTTTATTAAGCAAAGTAACAACAGAAAATAGTCTCTGCTTATGTCAACAAAACCAAATTCACCCTGCTTTTCAATTAGGTGAGTTTTCATATAATCTTTAAATAGATATGCATATAATATGTTTGCATGTACTCTTCTGCTTACAGAAGCAAATTGGGGAAAACCAAACCATGCTGTGGTGTAAGAAGGAAGAATTATTTTAATAGTCACGGTGTTCAAAAATATTTGTAAAGTTTATCAGTGTATGTAGCTGTATAAATACAGGCTGCAAAGTGTTCAGCAAGGAGAAAACAATGAGCTAATAATCTGGAATTGTTAATAATTGTCGATAATTATTTTTTTAGGGAAGTACATAGGCTTCTTTCATAGAATTGTGCACAGGGAGGAGAGGAAGAAGAGGATTTTTAGTGTTTTTGTTTGTCATGGTGTTTACTGTCTGTATGTCAGAGTATTCAGAAACGCGATGGCTTCAGTTGGAGTTTTCCATAGACGCACTTCAGGACATCCCAGCATTTGTTAGGACAGCTGGAGCATATGACATTTTGCCAATGGAACAACACATAAATAATTTGGAATAGCCTGTGTGAGCAATGCTTGTTTATGTGGATCGTGGGCTGTTGCTGCCTTATTTTACAAATTATGAACAGGGAAGAAAAAAACCTCAACAATAAAGTTTTGCAACAACACCCACAGCTAGCTGTGACTTACGCAAACCTTGTTCTTAAGTGACTTTGTGAACTGTTTTTAAGGGGACCAAATGCATCCTAGATTCAGGAAAGTGTTTGTCTTCTCCACTGGCTGAGGTTGCTCTTATCTGTTTTAATCAGCCTGTTCTTTTAAACAGGCTCAATCTCTAGTTGCATAAACACAACCTAGCCACAGGTTGGGGATCTCTTGGCATTACCAATCACACCCTTTCTCTGGGTGGAAAGCGTGGTCCCAGAGGAATTAATGCAGCTTGTTTTTTTTTTTTTTTTGATGCAGGCTGCGATTAGGAAGCCTGCATAGGAGCACAGCTTTTTCTGTTGTTTTGGGGACCATCTGTGTTTTCCAGCCCTTTAACTGGCATCAAAAGTGGTTTGTAAACTGTAGGAAAGATATTTCCTCCTCTCTGTCAGTGGTCTTGATGTACTGGCTGGCTCAACATGACCTGGTTTTGGGACAGAGCTTCCCAGTGGGTGCTCAAGCCTAGACTATGAGTTCTGAGCTTCCTGGCCCAAATTTGTCTGAAGTGGCTAATTACAACCTGGGTCACAGGTGCAGTAATAAGCTGTCATTAACCTGATGATTCGTAAAGGTCAGATTCTTCGTGGGGAAGGAGTAACAGGCAGATGGCAAGTAAGACATTGCCAAAAAAATGAAACAAAAAAGCACCAAGAAGGGCCAAAGCCAAACTATCATGTGCTCCTGATGGAGCCCAGTGAGGCTGCTCTCCACACCTCTTTATTGATGAGAAATGTGGGGAGTAATGATGCTGTGCTGCTTCTGAAAATATACCCCAGCATGTCAAAGGAAGATCCAGCCTGCAGGCTGTGATGACTGGTGGTGGTGGTATCCCATCTTGGCTCCATCACTGGAACAATTCAGGTGTGAGATCGCCCCAGTGCCTTTGCACGGCTGGAGTGGATTGAGTCACTGGCTCCTGCGTATGTGAACCTGCTTGTGAATAGCTACCTCCTCTCTGCCTATGTGTGTCTTCAGCCTCAATGAAACACAGCAACAGATTGCAGATGATAATGCCCACCTGTGTGGTGTAACCACCTGATGTGCTGGTAGAGGAAAACAAAGCACTGCTATGTAATAGTTTGTGCAAACTTGATGACATTGATCGCTGTCTGTCTTGTGAGAGACAGAGCTGGAAATGGAGGAGATGCAAAAGTATGGATGAAAGAGCAAGGAGAGGAGGAGGTTTTAGGTGAGGAATCCATGGTTTACCTAGAAACTGGAGAAAAATGTCACAGAAACAGAAGTTAATATTTAGCTAGAAAGCATAAACTGGTGGAATTTAAGATGGCTTTTGGAAAGAAGAATTGCTGCAAATACAGAAGCTCTGTGAAAAAGTTCCAAAGAGGCATGAAAACAAATGGCTTTGAAAGCAGGAGCTATTGAATTCAGCTTCTCCACACTGATAGATGTCCAGTTATAATTTATGAATTGGTAAATTATTTCTAACTGTTTCTTTTAGAAATGAGTGAAGATGTGGAAAGCTCATTAAATATGGGGAGTGCTTAGGAAGGGAGGTAATTAGTTCTGTAGTTTCTCCCTCATACTTATTGATGTATGTCGGTGTTGAGATGGCACACATTAGCAATGGTCTTTTCTGTATGCAGACAGTATAGCAAGATCTTTCCCTAATGTACTTTCTAGAGGAGCAGCAGGAGAGAGAACTATATATCTGTCTATATTCATGGAATCATAGAATAGTTAGGGTTGGAAAGGACCTTAAGATCATCAAGTTCCAACCCCCTGCCATGGGCAGGGACACCTCACACTAAACCATATCACCCAAGGCTTCGTCCCCAACCTGGTCTTGAACACTGCCAGGGATGGAGCATTCACAACCTCCCTGGGCAACCTATTCCAATGCCTCACTACCCTAACAGGAAAGAATTTCCTCCTTATATTCAATCTAAACTTCCTCTGTTTAAGTTTGAACCCATTATCCCTTGTCCTGTCACTACAGTCCCTAGCGAAGGGTCCATCCCCAGCATCCCTATAGGCCCCCTTCAGATACTGGAAGGCTACTCTGAGGTCTCCACACAGCCTTCTCTTCTCCAGGCTCAACAGCCCCAACTTTCTCAGCCTGTCTTCATATGGGAGGTGCTCCAGTCCCCTGATCGTCCTTGTGGCCCTCCTCTGGACTTGTTCCAACAGTTCCATGTCCTTTTTATGTTGAGGACACCAGAATTGGACACAGCACTCCAAGTGAGGTCTCACAAGAGCAGAATAGAGGGGCAGGATCACCTTTTTGAGCTGCTGGTCACACTCCTTTTGATGCAGCCCAGGATATGGTTGGCTTTCTGGGCTGTGAGCGCACACTGAAGCTGGCTCATGTTCATTTTCTCATCCACCAACACCCCTAATTCCTTCTCCGCAGGGCTGCTCTGAATCTCTTCTCTGCCCAACCTGTAGCTGTGCCTGGGATTGCTCCCACCCAGGTGTAGTACCTTGCACTTGTCATGGTTAAACCTCACGAGGTTGGCATCAGCCCACCTCACAAGCGTGTCAAGGTCCCTCTGGATGGCATTCCTTCCTCCAGCGTATCAACCGAACCACACAGCTTGGTGTCATCGGCAAACTTGCTGAGGGCGCACTCAATCCCACTGTCCATGTCACTGACAAAGATGTTGAACAAGACTGGTCCCAACACCGATCCCTGAGGGACACCACTTGTTACTGGTCCCCAGCTGGACATTGATGGGTATTGATGCAGTCTGCCCAATACAGTGGGATCCCTCTTCTCACCATTTGCTGACCAGCATCCCACTTGGTTCCCTTCCTGAGGGGCAAAAGATGAAGGGAACATTTAAAAGCATCTGTATTGCCTGATAAATGAGTGATAGTGAATTTGCATGGTAATTCACTATTTCAAGCAGTAATCTTTTCAATCATACAACTCCCTGTCAAGTAGAGCCTGCTGCAGCTGGTGTTACGTTGTCAAAGCTGCTGCTTCGTTAGAAAAATCTGTCTGTAGGATATCTCTGTGGATGGCTGAAGACTTTTGGACTGAAGCCTGAAGTATTCTCAAGACAGGTCGGCAGTTGTAGGCTGTGGATAGTGCAAATGTCATTTGAAGCTGTGCACATGTGCAGAATGTCAAAAGCATTTTGGTTTCCAAAAAATTTGGTTTACTTCTAATGGATAAGAATATTTTTCTTGACTCATTGTGAAAGGTTTTAAATGGTTTTGTTCTAGTACTGTGGTTATCAGCTTGTGATACAGAATCTCTTTTCCTTTATTACTGTGGGAAAAGTCTGGGCTCTGAAGAGTTTTTCTGGCAGGCACTGCAATATACACAATACAACACAGAGGCATGGGTAATGCAACAAACTGGATAATGAATTATTTAGAAGTTGTAAGATGAAATTGAGCTGTCAGTGACAGGAAATAGCTAAACCACACCTCTCCTTCCAGTGGATGGTATTGCCATGGATCTTAAGTGCAATGTGCCATGGATATTTTGAATCTTGGATTTATCTTGTCATGGTTGTATTATCTCAGCTATGGATACCCTGGAGGTTCCAGTGCTCCCTTTACCTAAAAGGTAAACCAAAATCATTTTCGTCTATAGCACTTCACATCGTTTCTGTTTTTACTTCAGGACGGAAGAGGTGCCAGCAGCTCAGCAACCTGCAAAGCCACAGACGCAAGCCAATGGAACAGGTAATCTTCTTCAGATCTCTACTAGCAGATTCAGTTGGGGTTTTTTGCCCCTTTCTTTTGATCCTTAGAAGATCAAGCCTTGCTGAAAAATGTGCTGGGTCCTTAAGCAGGCTTCTGAAGAAGCCAGATGTGAAAGACCATTTTAGTAGCTTCTTATCTCACTGTACGTGATTGTGCATTTACTTTTTGTATTTGACTTTGCACACCTGGGCAAGGACTTTATTCAGTATTGTAAAGCCTTTAGTAATCTAATGAAACCTGTTGCCTGGTTTCATCACACTTGCGTGCCTTGCTGATCCTTCAGGTACTGGAAAACAGGTGTAATACATACAAAAAATGTTCTATTTTGGTCTCAACTGCAAAAGCTCTTTTATGCTATTAACTGTATTACCCCTTCCTATTTCTAAAAGACAAGACATTCTGGAAAAGGAATAGGAGTTACTATTTTTTTGGACACCTACGCTGTCATTTCCATTTCTTAAGCTGCTGCTTATTATGAATTCAATAATACGGTGATTTCTGAAAGAACTGAGGCAACAGGTCTCAGTCTGAGTACACTTGAGCTTTCCTCCCCACACCTATTCATTGAGCTTGTAAATCTGCAGATTAAATTTGGAATTGCTCCTCCTGAATTTCCATAACATCAGTACTTTGTTATATGAACTACAACCTGCCATTTTTTTTCTGTCTTGTACACTCAATTTCCTCCTCAGTACATTCGGAAGTATTAGCATTTGGGAAGCTACTTCACAGGTTTTTAGTTTCAAATTGAAGTGCTGTCTCAGCTGTAAACTGTCACTAAATTCCTTGGTATTCTAGATATCAGTGCAATAGTGTGATTCTGTTTTCTGAGCACCAGTTTTTTTTCCCCACATGCATAAAAGCCTCATTTTGGCTGTTACAGCTGGCTGATTAATCTTTTTGCCTCTGTTTAATCGTGTCTTAAACTTACTGAGTTCTGTGCAAACTTCCATCCTTGATTAGTTGTGACCAGTGTCCTCCTCCTGACATTGCTGTATTGACTTACATTGCCAAAGAACAGTCTCTCTGTTCCCTCTAGACAATGATTTTCTGAGTTACAGGTAAAGTTTAAAGTTTTGTGCTCATTTGTGCTGCCTCTAAGGCTTTTACCCTTATATTATATCCATACTTATGTTATATTTTTCCACTGAAACTAACATACTTAAAGTGTGGATCAGTTCATTACTTTGCCATAAAAGACTTTCCAGGCAGCATCATGACTATATATTCCATATATAGCAAGTGGCATATACATTATCTAGAGAGGGATATAAATATCTGTGTATACACACGTACACAATCTTTACAGCCTATAAATGGTAGGAAAGTGGTAATAAGAAAGTCTTTTACAGAATCTTGCTTAAGTTTCCACTTCCCTTTCCTGTCAAGTTCATGTGCCTGCAGGGTGGGTGCCCTGCTCTCTGCTCAGGAATGTTTTGCTTTACATTGCTTTCCTGAAGGTGACCCTTCAGCACAATAGGAGTGCTGACATTTATGTCAGTCTTTTGTTTATAGCAACCTCTTAACCAGAGACTGTTTTTACAGTTTTTTCTAAAAAATCTGTTTGTTGGGTTGTTTAAGTAATCTCTGTACTTGTGGTAATGTGATGCCTCCATGTGCTGTGCTTGAAGCAAAGCAAGAGTCACATTTAGTCTTATTTTACCAGTTTTGTGCAGTCAGTGTTCCTGTGCAATGGCAGAAGTAAATTGCACAGTGAGTTCCCGTGAAGAGTGTTGGTGGGGTACAGGAAAGCTGTACAAAGTCTGCTTTCCACTAAAGCATGATGTGTGGGAACAGGGGCAAGCTTTGGATGAAGATGTTGTCTAGTATTATCCTGATACTTAGTGCTTCTTCCTTACAGATAAGCGTAGTCACACGGTCTGTTCGAGACTCCAGAAGTGGTTTTGTGACAAATTTGGGGAGTATGTTGAGGACTTCAGATTTCAACCAGAAGAGAATACAGTGGAAACAGAAGAGCCTCTTAGTGCTAGAAGGTAAATCTTTAATGTGATTGCGAGAAGTTATTGGCTTCTTTACAAGTTGCTTTTTTACCTCCTTTTTTTTTGTTTTACAACCCTTTATGTGGTTTGAACATGGCAATAAAACTGAAAGTTTAGAACCATCGCAGAAGGTTTGTGAATGCGTTGGCCACACTATGAAATTTAAAGTTCATTTGCTGTCTGAGGTAGGGTAAGAGTTATATTATTTACCAGATTCTGTCTCATGACTCGCAAACTCTGGACAAAGCCTTAATTAGGCTGAAGAGCTTTCACATTTCAAGTTTTGGTCTGGTGCAAGATAGGCTGTGTTAGTTACTAAAACCACATTTCATAACAGGCAAGAATGAAACTTTATGCACAAACATCTAATTTATAACTGTGAGCAGTATTTCAATATACCAGATATACACAACTGTGCACTACTTGCCTATTTAACAGATTGCTTTTATCTATTCTTTTTCAGGTTGACTGAAAATATGAGAAGGTTAAGTAAGTACTTAGCAATATTTTATTTTCTGGAAGTGAAAATAGTTGTTAGTAACCCTATTGGGAAGATTGCTACATTTTAAAATACAGTGTTTTCAAATACTTCTGCAGTTTATGAGCAGAAATGATTCTGAAATCTGGTACAGTGTTTGGAGTGCAAAGTAACGTAGAGGAGCAGTGGTAGAAGCTTGCCTTTGATCTTGAATTACATAGGGTATCTCTGAACTAAAAATATAAGGTTAATTAAAATGTAATGAATGAGGATGGGGTATTTTTCCAGTGGCAAAAATAAGTGTGTGCATATGCTTATGCCCTAGCTGGTTTTAGGTCACTTGCTAGTCTATGAGTTTATGCTTTCAAAGATGATGAAGGGATTAGGTGATGCATACCATGAATGTGTCTTGCATTTCTGTCTCTTGGATAGCTGATAAATTACTTTGGAAAGTGAAGGATGCAAGATGGCAGGTTAAACAAAGCAGTTAAGCCCTCCAGAAGTTCTGTTCAGCAAAGAATTGCTAGCCTGAAAAAAAATCTATGTGGCTGATTTGTGTACAAATTGTTAAATTAATGTAGGGGGGGAGGGTGAAGTTGAAATAAGGGTCTGTAATCTCCATGTAAGGTCAGTTCTGTTCTCCTTATTCTAATACTGGTATTCCTTCTAGTTTCATTTGGTGTAGAACGTCTGACTTGTTTTCTGTGGTGCACATGCATTGCCTTAAGAATAGCTTTATAAAAAGCACTATTAAGCTTATCTTTGAGTGGTTCTTAACTTCCTCTAGGTGAACTTCAAAATCTAGATCCCTGTTCTCTGTGGGTGCCTGACAACCACCCGGAGCTCTCAAGAACCTTGTTGTCACTAGCAGTTTCCAAGTGTTGATTGGGACCTTCCCTGCAGATTCAGTTTAGGGTAGTGGAGCAGAGCAGGTGGAAGCAGGGCTTGAGTCTGTGCCCCTTCCACTTTCTTCATCTGCTGCTTTGGTTGTGCTGATGATGCTTAGGGAAATGTAGTCCTAGTTGTTTAATTACTTCCTACAGGAAGTGTATTGAGGGTAGCTGAATTTCAAGCCAAACAAATTAGGACAGCAAGTCACAGGCTGTCTCGAGGAAAGCTTTTCAAAGCTGTGGGCTGTACTGCAAATGAGGGTGAGTGCTTCTGGGGATCCCTGTGCAAGAGAAGTCGTCACTCTTCTCAGCAGGGAAGGCAAAACCAGTGTATTCCAGCACAGAAAGCAAAGATCTTCATGCAGCACTCCTCTCCTGTTTTCATGTGTCCCCTAGCCAGTTTAACCAAGTTGTAAAAGAGCTTAGAGGAATAGAGTATACAAGGACAGGTGGTTTCCAGGGAGCTGAGGAATAGCTCCTCTTGCTGTCACTGGCTGGTTGTGTGCATCTGTATGTGGGAGTGATGCCTCTCTCATGCAGTGATGGTGAGAGCAAAGGTTTCTTGGGTTTCACTTTTCTTAATTTGGATAAGCCTTGTTATCATTGACTATTCCGATTAATTTTCTAAGTTGTCTGTTTGTCATTTACAAGCGATTTAACCGCTGCCAGCTAATTCTAACAGTTGTGTTTTTTCTCCGCTTCTGTTTAGAGAGAGGTGCCAAACCTGTTACTAATTTTGTGAAGAATCTTTCTGCCTTATCAGACTGGTATTCTATCTACACTTCTGCTATTGCCTTTATTGTAAGTTGTCCTATTCCTCCAGGAGTAGTAATATTCTTATAATATAATTATAATTATTTTATTTATAATTATAATTATTCTTAATTCTTATACGTATCATTTACTGAAATTCATCGAAACTGCCATATCTGACTAGGGGTTGTGCTACAGTTTAAAGGCAAATCAAGTAGTGTAATTTCATTCATGTACAAAATGCCAGCAGTTGTCATTTCAGTTATGTTTCAAAGACGCTTAAATTGTGGATTCGGGGTTTATTGTAGCATAGTTTTGTAACTGTTAAAATAGCTCAGAATCATCTGGGCATTGTTCTCTCATTTCTTGTTTCCTGTCTCCCAGTCCTGTAATTTGATGGTTACTTCCGCCTTTGCCAAATCTCTTGCTGTCTAGGGCTGAAATGCTGATAGTGGCTATGTTTGATAAGCAGCTGTCATTTCCATCAGTGCTCTTTGCCATTCATTAGGATCATACTAATGACAGACAAAATCCATTTGTTGGAGGATCATTTAATGTGCAAACGTCAGGTCTGTGAGCTAAGTTCAAGCATTCCCATGCAGTTTAAGGAGGTTTGTGTCCACAGTGATGTAACTATTTAGTGGAGTTTAAATTTGTTTTTATTCTAACTGTTAATTGATGATCTAAATTATTTTGGTCGTGGTGCGTATTGATTTTGATACCAGAGGAATTACCAGTAGCTGTAGCTGAATGAGCCTGTCTGGTGAAAATGATACACAACTTTTTATTAAATGATCCCTCCGTGTAAGTTACAGACCCTTATTCAATGCTACTTTGCGCAGCACAGCTGAAGGAATACTGAGGAGGAGATTTCCCCTTCATGGTGCCCTGTGTCTGTCCCTTCTCCTAATCTACTGGGTTTTCTCACCTCTCCTGACAAACCCATTCTTCAGATAGAAGCTGAAAGAGGAACTTTAGCTGCTGTTTGGAAAGTTCTGGGATGTTGGAGCCAGGACAGTGCTTCACATCGGGGTTATCAGTAAAAACAGTCTCAGCAGGGAGGCTGTAGTCTCCGTATTTTCAGAAGCCAGGAAGGGAACACAATGCCTTTTGAGGCACTTTGTGTTTGTACTTGTCAGGTAAAATAAAACCTATTTTCCTGCAGTCTTTCCAAGCTTGGTAAAAAGTTTGGGATTTAATTGACCTGAAATAATAGAGTGAGCATTTATCCTGTTGCACTGTATGGGGCTAGCTGCTATTACCCTTCTGTTCCATTGCATCAGCTGCCATAGGTGAGGTTAGATCATGTTGTGCTTACATAGCAGGCTCACAGACTTTAAGGTTTACTGTTTTTCCCTTATCACTTCATTTGTAGTGTTGGAAGTATTCAGTACTTCTCTCAAGCAGCTGAGAAATAGTTAAGTGTCATCTCTGGAGATTTGGGTTTTGACTTTACACAAATGCAGTGCTGTTGTCAGTCATGGGGTAGCTAAAATGTATTAATTTTTGTGATTTGAGTTACGTGATTCTGAACTCAGCAGTCCACTGGGGAATGGTATTTCATGCAACTCACTGTGCACCAGTTTGTAATCTGTGTTTCTCTTTGTTCTTTTTTTTTTTATTTATTTATTAATCTGCAGATTTACATGAATGCTGTATGGCATGGCTGGGCCATTCCTATGTTCTTATTTTTAGCAATTTTGAGGTTGTCCCTAAATTACCTCATAGCCAGGTATTTACTTAAGTACTAGATTATTGTCTGTAATGCTTTGCTTGAAAGATGTTTCATTGCTCTTCCATTGAGTTGTGAACTGTTAGCTTTTCTAATGTGCGTTAAGTCTAACAAAGTAAAATTCAGACTCTAATATCCTTAATTTCATTGCTCAATTTCTGTAATTTTTGACTTTTATAAGGAATTATTTTTGTATCCTCTGACTTGGGTCATCATAAATGATGCTACATGTTCTCAAACAAATCCCTCAGCACGCTAAAGCTCTAAAATAACATTTTGCAGCTTTCAGAGTAGTTGGAGAATATTACCTAAATTATTGAAGCCTGCTGCTTTTCCATGGGGAGAATTTTCACCTATGCCTAAAATAACAGTTTCGCCTTTTTTAGTCGATCTTGGCATGCTTTATTCAAAGCATCTTCCATTTGTAAATTCAGTCTCTTTTAAACATTAAGACTTTCTTGTAAAATTCATGTTTTCTGTACTGAGAGGATCTTTTTAAAATGCTGTTTAGCCTGATGGTGTTTTCCCCTTAATGGTGAAGAGGACCTTAATGTGCATGTTTTGAATAACTTGCTGACTTCTTAATTGATACTTACACTATGACACACTATTCTCTGAAAATTGCTGGTAGCAAATAGGTCTTGAATAAGTTGATGTAGTTTTACAAGAAAAGAGAAAACCTTAATAATTAATTACTGTCTGCACACCATTCACTTTTGTTATAATACCCACAAATGGTGATTCTGTGTAGCGTCTACCTAGCTAATTCATTTCTTTAATGAGTATACCTTTAAAGCTGGCTGTGGTTGGCCAGTTGTGCTTTGGTTATGTTGTTGGTTTTTCATTAGTTTGGGGATTATTTCCTTATTTTTTTTAAGTCATAAGTGCTTATTGCAGAAAATTACTTTTGAACAGTCTACGAATAATCCGTGTTGGCAGGTGGAGGAGAAGTATTTGCTTTCTTTAACTATTTCCATAACTTCTAGGGGTTGGAGAATACAGTGGAGCATTGTGCCTGAAGTTTCGGAACCCATGGTAGGTATTTGATCAGCTTGTCCTATATGTCTGTGTTAAAAGATGCACCTTTAAGACCTTTCTCAGTGTTTATGTGGGTAGCTATGAAAGGAAAGAGTGAGGTGCAAAGAAAGACATTATATTCTTTTTCTTTCTCTTGCAATTTAGAAATCTTAACTAAGAGTACTCTTAGGTTTGGGTGTTTCACACTAAACTTGAAACACATTTCTGGAATCAATGTTAATATGCCAGCCTGGGACAAGTTAGATCCTGTGGGATCTTCAAGAAACCTAGCATTCTCTTTTCTTTGTAACATTTTGAAATTAATGTTTGCATACCCTGCTTTAAGCAGGAAGGGTTTTAAGTGTTAACGTAAGATGGAGCTCTTTAAATTTCAAACCTTTTACTAAGACTTAGGCCTTGCTTCCAGGATCATTTTGTTACTCTTAAAAGGCGAATAACTTAAGTTCTAGATGTAGAGCTTCTAACAATAATGATATTTCTGTGCTAGTTTAATTGTAGAGTCATAGAATCGCTTAGGTTGGAAAAGACCTTTAAGATCATCAAGTCCAACGGTTAACCTAACACTGTCAAGTCCATCACTAAACAATGTCGCTAAGTGCCACATCTACGCACCTTTTAAATACCTTCAGGGATAGCAAATCACCCACTTCCCTGGGCAGTTTCCAATGCTTGACAACCCTTTCTGTGAAGAAATTTTCCCTAATATTCAATCTAAACCTCACCTGGTGCAACTTGAGGCCATTTCCTCTTGTCCTGTCACTTGTTACTTGGAGAAGAGACTGACCCCCACCTTGCTGCAATCTTATTTTAGGTAGTTGTAGAGAGGGATAGGGTCCCTTCTCCAGACTAAACAACCCCAGTTCCCTCAGCCCTTCCTCATCACACTTGTGCTCCAGACCCTTCAGCAGCTTCATTGCCCTTCTCTGGACCTGCTCCAGCACCTCAATGTCTGTCCTGTAGTGAGGGGCCCAGAACTGAACACAGGGTTTGAGGTGTGGCCGCACCAGTGCCCAGTGCATGGGGATGATCACTGCCCTGGTCCTGCTGCCCACACTATTGCTGATAAAAACCACGTTGCCCACCTGGGCACAAGCTGGCTCATGTTTGTGTGGCTGTTGACCAACATCCCCATGTCCTTTTCTCTGAGCAGCTTTCCAGTCACTCTTCCCCAAGCCTGTTGCGTTGCATGGGATTGTTGAGGCCCAGATGCAGGACCCAGCACTTTGCCTTGTTGAACCTCATACAACTGGGCCCATTGATCCAGCTTGTCCAGATCCCTCCTTAGAGCCTTCCTATCCATCAGCATATCAACACTCCCATCCAACTTGGTGTCATCTGCAAACATACTGAGGGTGCACTTGATCCCCTCATCCAGATCACTGATACAGATATTAAACAGAACTAACCCCAGTACTGATCCCTGGGGAGCACCACTTGTGACCATCCACTACCATTCACCACCATGCTGGGCTTTGGCCATCCAACCAGCAAAAAATGTGACTGTCCAAGCCATGAGCAGCCAGTTTCTCCAGGGGAATGCTGTGGGAAATGGTGTCAAAGGCTTTACTAAAGTAGGTAAACAACATCCACAGCCTTTCCTCATCCACTAAGCAGGTCATCTTGTCACAGAAGAAGATGAGGTTATAGTCAAGCAGGACCTGCCTTTCATAAACCTGTGCTGACTGAGCCTGATCACCTGGTTATCCTCAAGTGTGATGGAACTCAAGAGGATCCATAGCCTTCTCTGGTCATGCTAATAGACCTATAATTCTGTGGTCATAGACTGAATGCCACTGTAATGGTGCTGCTTGAAAGACTTACTGTGTCTCACAGCCTTCTATTAATATGTTTGCATGTACCATGGAGGAAGAGCTTTGAGAACTAAAGATAACTAGCAGTGAAAGACTTAAACAGTAGATTTGAAACAAGGGAGACTGTTTGAAGTGAGAAGACTATTGCCAAGAATGTTGAGAGGTTTCTTTTCATGAGGAGTTATGTAAAATACCAGTTTCAGCTGAGCTTAAAATTAATGGATTGTCTCTTTCTTCCCCAAGGAACCCCCAAAAGAGGACCTGACCGTGTCTGAAAAGTTTCAGCTTGTTCTAGATGTGGCTCAGAAGGCACAGGTACTGTGCTGCTCTCAGAGCTGTCTGACTGGTTCCTTAGAAACAAGGACGTTCATAGTCCAAGTGGTCAAAGGATGTTGTTAGGCAGCATGTGAAAACAGACACTCAAAGAAGCAATACTTTTCTTGACTACAAGCAATAGAGACTTCAGAAAGATTCCTGGAGCTTCTAAAATGGCACGGTGCTTCAGACAACTGGTTGAGGTTCTGTGGTCAGAACTCTGAGTGAGGTCTGGAGGGGAACAGAAGCAGCTTCTTGACAGTGTTCCCCCTGATATATGTAAATGAGCTTCTGGTAATGTAGATGAGGTGGCAAATCTTACTAGTATGCTGGAGTGTGGATCCATGTCCCAAATCTGCTAGTCGCAAAGCTAGTGTAGGACACCCTCTTCCTTCAAGATTTAGCTGAAGGCTGTTGTCTGTTTAGCTGTGTTAATTCAGCAGTTTGAACAGCATCTCTGAAATAGCCTGTTTTAAACACCACCACGCTCCCCTGAGCCCTGAAATCTGCTTCTTGTGGGAGAGGGTGAAGGGAAGTTTTCTTCTGTTAGTTTGATGAGCTACTCTAGCAGCTGAGTGACCCCACCACGTAGTTGAACTTACAGCCTTGTGCCATGTCTAACAGTGTGCTGCTGCTGAAAGTAGCTTACCTTTCTCTTGCCAACCGTGTGTGCTCATCTCCTTCCTTCTGCTGGTGGCGGTGCATGTGTTTATACAAACATCTTTGGAAGTTTATTGGGAACGTAAAATTTACAGGTGCCCTGACAGCAAGGATTGGTCAGAGAAGGTGTCTGAATAACACTCTTAATCCTCATCAGGGTCAGTTTGCATCAAAAGTTGTTGGAATTACATGGAATCTAGTAACTCCAAGGGTGTATTATAAAAACCTGATTGCAGTGGGTTTCTAGAGAAGCTAACGGTCCCACATTTGATGAACTCAGTAACCACTTCCTCAAATGTCAGTGCTCAAAGTGTGCAAAGAAACTTCCTATTATGTTGCCTCATGACAAAAGTTCTTAACCCTGACAGCTTAATATAAAATATTTGCAGTGATGTAAACACTTTGCAGTCATGAAAATGGGGTCAGATAGCTTCTTTACTTCCGAAAATCCATCTTGAGTTACAGAACAAAGTATTAAGTGAGATTGAAGTCATTGTGTATGGCTGTCCTGTTCTGTATTTGCTTAATTGTGAAGTATATAAATGGCTAAAAATTAGGTTAAAAAATCACCTCTGGGAATTGCTTATTACCAACAGAGTAAGATAACTATTGTTTTCTATTATGTAGACCAAAAAAACCCAAGATAATGCAGGACTCTGTTTTAATTCTCTTGCTTCTTATGCAGAACCTTTTTGGCAAGATGGCAGACATACTGGAAAAAATCAAAAAGTAAGTTATCTGACATGAGTCTTTTTTTTTCTCTGACGACAAGACTTGACCAATGTCTGAAACATTAGTAATAAAATTGTGTTTCTTTTTTTGTTTTCAGCTTGTTCATGTGGGTCCAGCCAGAAATAACACAGAAACTCTACATTACTCTATGGGCAGCTTTTATTGCATCCTGCTTTTTGCCCTACAGGATTATTGGGCTCGCAATGGGTAAACACAACAATAATTGACCTGCTACAGTCAAGACTTAATGCGTTAAAACTTACCATGACCTTTAGAGGGAGAATTTTAGAATTTAAGAAAGAAACCCTTACCTTAATAAATAATGCAGTGTTTGAAAGTATTTTCCTTGTGCTTGGCATTGTTTGTCATGTGCATTTCAAAAACCATCTCAGGATATATAGCATAATAGAAAAAGACTGGATAATGCATTTGCTTCTTGAAGAGGGGAAGTTCATGATGAGTTGTTAGCAGAGCTCTTCAGTCTGTCAGCTGTAAGACTTCTGGGAAGTTCTATATTTTGGGGATTTTTTCACTCCTATATCCTTGCAAGTGAAATATGTGGGACCACATAGAAGGCACAAAGATGACAGGGTTGGGGGAAAAAAAGGAAAGACTTGGTGGGACTAGTTGTAGCATTTGGATGGTGCCCTGACAAAAATGAACAGATTACTGAGGGTGAAGCTATGTATACTTAAAGTCTCAACTGGGAAGTGGGAAAAGGGTTTTTACTACAGCGTGAGAGTGTCTGTTTTCTAAGATATAAAGCATGTCCTGTGAACTAAGAATTTTCATTTTTTTTCCCTTAAAGTAATGATATAATTAAATGATTGTTACTTTTCATGCCAGCGAACTTCAAACTTGTGTTAGCTTGAGCATAAACGTAGGTCTGCTTGACATGGCAATTGAATTAGATATGTGAGGTAGTATTATTTTACTCTGACTCTTAAGAAGGAGACCTGAATTGCATTCAGTAAAGCTTTGAGAGAGTATTTCAAGCCCTTTTTAATCTGACAGAATGCAAGGAAATAACTTGTATAATAAGATAAGAGTCTATACAGGACTGCAAGATAGAGTTTAATATAGTACATGAGAGCCCTCTGTTGCTATTTAAATTCTTGCCAGGAGCTGCAGAGATGGATGCTCTGATGTGTTTTCTGTTTTGGAAATACATTGTGGTTTTAGAGGGCTTCTGGTAATAAGGAATGTGTGTTTCAATTATTTTGAAGTTCTTCCATGTAATAAGAATCTACCTAAGTGTCTTAAATAGCTAAGGATTAGAAGAAGAATCGAAATATTAAAGTCAAGAGAATGGTTTAGCACTATGAATGAAGATACAGAACTTTGTTTCACTCATGGACTTGTTAGACTTGTTAAAACATGATCAAAGCAGTGATGTTCTTAATGCCCCCTTCAACATGTGTACTGAAGTGGATTTTTTTTTTTTTTTTTTTTTTTTAGGACTCTATGCTGGAATCAAGTTTTTCCTCATTGATTTTATCTTCAAACGATGCCCCAGACTAAGAGCTAAGTATGATACTCCTTATATCATCTGGACAAGTCTCCCAACAGATCCTCAGCTCAAAGAAAGATCTAATGTTACAGTATCAAGACGGGTAAGGGTAATAAGTCTTTCTGTCCCTCAGTTCCCAACAACTGAAAAATCAGATTCCTTTCTCCCTTTGCCTTTTCCCCAGTGACTAGAGCACATTAAAGGGAAGGCTAATTAAATCCCAACAGTCACTGTTAGTTCTATTTTTTTATCATTTTCAAGATCCACAAATTTATAACATGGATTCTATTTCTTGTATGAAAGGAATCTATTCTCAAAGTGTATGTATAAATATATGTATACTGGAAATCATATCAAGCTGAACACACAAATACAACACCATCCATAATAATATCAATTTCTGTAGCATACATTCTTTGTGATTTTACTGTCAAAATTTAGTCTTTCTGTATTCCCCTTCTTTGTTCTCAGACATTCTTTTTCAGTGGGAATCCAGCTACTTGTGTAGATGGAAGAACAGTTAGTCAAGCCTTTTTAATCTATTTTTTTAACCTATAATTTGTGGCTTACTAATGGGATAAGTGTTAAGAGAGGTAATAAAGTAGTTTACAGATTTAGGCATTATGTCTTAGGGTTATTTCTATTAGGTTACCTTTTAGCATAGTGGTGGTAAATGACTTTTCGCCGTTTTGGTACTCCAACAGTGAATTTTTCTTTTGTTCAAGTCTCGTGGTTAAATCTGAGTGTTGTTTTGTGCATCTTTGTTAATTGTTTTGGGAGCTGACATGGTAACTGAAAAGCAAGGCATGCTTTTCCATATCCCTGATTTTGTCAATGTTTGTTGGTTTATAAATAAAAATAGTTGTAGTAAAACTTTGGTCTAATCCCATTTTAGCATTTCCTTAATGCCTGTAATCACATTATTTAATTACATTCATGGAGTATCTGAGTACTGTCATAAGCTCCCTGACTGAAATGTGCAGTGCTTAGCAATAATTCAGTCTGGCTACACAACTAGGAGCAAAAGGGATAAACACATGATCCCTTGGTTGTTAAGCTGTTGAAAAGAAGAAATATGGGGTTCAGGGGGTGATGGAGCAGTTCGTGGTAAAACAGCTGCAGCATAATCAGAGTATTTCAGAAGGGAGTGGAAGAGAAAGACAAAAGACAGTCTGTGACACAAAGTGAATCTTTTGCTCCTGTTTTCCAAGGGAGGAGGAAGGTAAATGAGCGCTTGGACAGAGCTGTCGATAGCCTATATTGCTCTTGCTTGTGTTTTCTGTTTCCAGATGTCTTTGAAAACATTAACTTGGTTTCAATAATTTTAGACAAACTGTCTTATCCCTTGAGGGATTTCAGGGAACCTCATAGTATAAAAAATAGAGTTTTGTACAAAAAGTTAAAAACCAAGTAAATTTTTCAGTTTTACATAGAAAAGGCAGAGCCCAAAAACATGTCACGCCAGTATATGTGCTTTGGTTTCTTGTCATTAGACAGCATACAAGATATCGTATACCTTGACACAATTCAATATTCATTACCTATACCATGACTCTGACCTCCTGTCCTTAGAGAACAATACTGACAGCAGTATCTGATGGGTAAAGGTTGTATGTCAGAAGCTGATGATAGATCAAGTAAACAGAAATATCTCCAGGTATTCCTACCTCAAGGTTGTTGGTGACATTTTTGACAGTCAGGATGCTTCCAGCATTACAAATCTGAACACTTCCAGTTAGATTTAAGGCTTATCAAAATCAGGTGCAATGTTTTTCTTTTAGTAATCAGCTGTAGGTAGTCTCAGGCCTGGGTGCTCATGGATAATTAGCTGCTTCTTTTAAGGGTGGAGGAAACATTTGCCTGTGTTAGGGAGGACTAGAGCAAGGGCAGAACTTCCTCACATTTTCAGTCACTGAATGGGATATGGTACTGAAGTTTAAACACCTTTTTTAATCTTTATATAATGGGTAGGTAGGAAGCAGTTTAGCAGAGAGCAGAAATAAACCTCATTCCAGTGCAAAAATCATTAGACCTCTTGCCCTAACCTTTTTTATGTTTTGGTCCATGGAGCTTCACCTGGTTAAATGCATAGTGAGCCAAATAACTTGTCCAAGAAAGCCTTAAAAAAATTTACTTGATCATTACTAGCACACAGACTATTGGAGAAGCTATTACTTTCCTTGGTTCCAGGGGCTCAGTCATTGCTAAGGGCTCTGCAGAAGGGCAGAAACTGAAGCAGTAGTACAGTAATCACCAACTATTTGCTTTCCATGTCAACTTTCTTTGTTCTTTTCCATTAAGGCATCATTGTATCATGGTTACGCTAAAAACTGGATGGTAAATACCTCTGCTGTGCCTGTTTTGTCAGCCTGGTTTCTGGTCAGCAATTGCAGTGAGCATTTTTTTCCTCAGCTTTGCATTTCTTTTGTTAGCACAAAGTCCTGCGAAGCGTGGAGTGCTGCCAGCTTATGTGCAAAACAGAAAAGGAGCAGAGGCTGGTTGGCCTCCAATGGCATCAGGCCTTTACAGAAGAAGGGCTTAGTCCTGAGCTTGCATGTTGTCAGTTTGCCAGCTGTTTAACTGCATGTGTATGGTAGGACTAAGAATGGAGCTGTTAATGCTTCAATGACAAAAGCCAGCCTTTGGAATCATGTGGTGCCCTACCAAGATGAAAAAGCAAAGGCAGGCAAACTTCTCAAAAGAAACTGCCTGCTGTCCTTCCAGAAGCAAGGCTTGTTTGTTAGGGCAGTCTCCAGTGGTTCAGGAGCTCTGTTTAAAAGTAGACTTTACTCAAGTGCTTTGATTTGAGAACTCCATGCTACCTTCCCCCCAAAACACTGACAACCATTCTGATTTTATTTCACATGTCAACACTCTCAAAAGTTTGGTGCAACTTCAAAGCAAAGGAAAGATCAATGGCTCTAACACAACCTGAATAAATTGAACTGGTGTGCTCTAACCACTGATAACTCTTCTTTTTTTAATTGCATTCCCTGTGTGTAGTCTCTTGGTTTGTGAGCCAGATCTTGCAGTGCCACTCAGTTCATGTTTTATTCTGTGTATTTATGCTGTTAAATAGACTTCACATTTTTTCTTTTTTCACTGTCATATTTGTGTTGTTTGTTTCTTTTCCTGCTAGCTGTCAGGGCATGAAAAGGTACGGATCGTAGTGTGGAAAACTTCCTATCAATTTCAGCCTTTGTATTTATAATGAACTTATGCAGTTTTATGTGGCTTTCCCTTTGTTTGTTCTTTTTTTCTTTTTGAGCTTACTTTGTGCAATAATATTTTGTGCTTGTTCTGTCTCTTGAAGACAAACCAAGTACTGATATATTAACTGTTAGTAGTCCCACTAGTATAATAATTGGATCTGTATGCAGTGACCTATCTGTATGTAATCAGATACACCCTTTCCTGTTGAAGAACGGTAGTTTAAGGTAGGTGCATTTAGCACCATGTGCTTTCACCCCTGCAAAGGCATCCATTGAAGGACAGCACTTTAAAAAGCTATTTTCAGATAGCACGTTTTGAGTTTTGTGCTATAGCAGTCGTATAGTCCAAAGTTTAATTTATTGAAATAGTTAGTGAAAATTATTGCATTACAACATCAATTGCTTTGTGTGTTTTAGGAAGGGTAGTTAGCCAAGTTATTTTTAAGAGCACAGCTTAAGTGTTGCTGTTTAAAGTTTGGAATCATGTTTGTTTTTCTGCAGCTTCAGACAGCAGCTTCCAGAAGTTACGTGGGCTCAAGCGCCCCAACTGGAATAAGCAAAGATGAAGACACGAGTCGTTTCCATACCACCAAGAGGGGGAATTTCCATGAAGTTTTTAACCTATCAGAAAATGAGCGTCCTTTGGCAGGTATTACACAACAGGAAGGTTACGTTAGTAGAGCATTTTCTAACAAGCCAAGTTGAATTCCCTTGCTGTGCACTGTACAGGTATAAGCTTTTGATCAAAAGGACTTGCTCTAGATTAGGATGAATGAGACGATTTCTTTAATTTCCACCTCCCTGCAGTTCTGTGGGAGAATGCACAGCCTGGCGTGCCTTTTGTGGTAATGCAAATGGCATAGTCAAAGGGAATAATTGTGTGGGTGGTTTTTGGTTTGGGTTTTTTAAAACCAGTGTTATGATGTCTAAAAACATCTTATTTAGGCTTTTCTTTTATAAATGCTTCTAGTTTTAGGTATCTAATGTTTAATTGTCAGTGGCTTCTGATGTTTTATAAGGAAATTGTTGGGGATAATGCATGTCTTTTTTTTTTTTAAAGTAGTATTTGTTGTTATGAATTTTTCAGTGTGTGAAAATGGCTGGCGCTGTTGCTTGATTAACAGAGATAGGAAAATGCCTACAGATTACATCAGGAATGGAGTTCTTTATGTCACAGAAAAGTGAGTGATTGCACTTGACATATTTGTTAGGAGGGAAATGCATCAGACATTAAAAAAACTTGAATCCAAAAGTAATCCTTTAACAATGTTTTGAAACAAAAGTGCCTTTTCATGGTGTTTCATGACCTCAAGAAAGCACCATAGGAGAGGGAGAGCTGAATCTGGGGTGTTGTAATGCTTAACAAATGTGATTTTGCCTTGCAAAGAGTTGCATAGGAATGGAGAGTAGCTCTAAATAGCCAGTTGTTAGTAGCTCAGTTCTTGATGTGGGTAACATGCTAACTATATATATATATGTATATACACACTAAAAAGAAACCCTAAAAGCTAAGCGTACTTTAATAAGTTGTGATCAACTTAATTTGGCAAATATTCTTAGTTTCTGTCTTTGAAGCAAATTCAGTGTCTAGCTTCCTTGAAACAATGTGCAGCAAAAAGCAAATAGAAATTTAATCCTTCGTTTTAAAACTAGTTCACTACTCTTTTGGGTCTTGCACTGAAATTCCTTTGGAGTGTAATGAATGGAAGTAAGGCTCATCTGTATGCAATGTCACCTAGTGATGGAGAGCACTCTCCAGCATTTAGAAATCTGAGCTTTTATCTGCATCACAATAACATGAAACTTAACACAGTGTTTTTCATTAATCTTCTTTTGGGATGGTAAAAGACTTATAAGCCTTTTGAGATTTGGTATTTCTATGGCTTAAGAATATATGCACTTTCTGTGTCTTTAAAACATTTGTCAGGTTTAACCATTCAGGGCAGTAATATAAATACAAGATTTTTTTGTATTGTGTGCCTGCCGTTATGTTGTGAGCTTTCAGACAATGTACAAGAATTTACAAATGTTTGCTCTAAATTAGAAGCCAGGACTGAATTGCATACTGTGTGCCTCTTTCTCTTTTTTGAAGCTGCTTTTAACCTGTGGTATTTCAAACTTCAGAAGTGATGGCAGGGATATTTGGAGCTTTGTTTTAGAATACTGTATCAAAATGAACATTTTCTTTCCTTGTCTTCAGTTATTTGTGCTTTGAAAGCTCCAAATCTGGCTCATCTAAGAGAAATAAAGTTATAAAGCTAACGGATATAACAGATATTCAGAAGGTATGTCTGTTTTGTGTGTGTCTGTTCTGTGTATGTCTGTTCTATTGGTAGCAGGAATTACGTAATCCTAACTTCAGTTTGGGTGTTGATATTGGTAGATGCACCATTTTAACAGTAGATGCCTCAGAAGGAAGAGGGCTTATTGTCAGTGGGGAAAGTTAAAACAGTAGAATAACCAGACTGGATTGGGCTGTTGGGTTCCCAACCCTAACAGAGGCAAGAAGTGAATAGTTGAAATTAGGGTAAGTACAGTATCTTCATCTGGTTGTGTTATGTCAGCCTGCAGTCACCAATGGCTTTATTGGTGCTGTGCATCAGTCTGTATGGTGTTTAATGTCACTTTTTGTTACCTTCTCTGAACCTGGCCTATTCTTAAATGCAGACACCCCTACTACTACATCCTGTGGCCATGAGTGCCACAGATTAAATCGTGCTGGGCAAAGAAACACTTCAGCCTGGTGTCTACTGCTAATTTACCTCCAAATTTTCATAGAATTATAGAATTATTTGGGTTTGAAGGGACCTTAAAGATCATCTAGTCCAACCCCCCTGCCATGGGCAGGGATGCCTTCCGCTAAGCCAGGATGCTCAAGGCTCCATCCAACCTGGCCTTCTCACCCCCTGTTTCTCACCCCCCAACCTGAAACCAGGCACAGTACATTTTTATGCCTGGCTGCGTGATCCCTGTCTCATCTTCATTAAAAAACTCACACAGATGAAAAAAGCACCTTCATGACATAAAAAACTACTAAACAATGAGCCAGCATTACTTCAAGAATGATGCTTACAATCCACCAGTATCAATTATTAATTCCATAGACAAGTGGTGCCTGGCATCATGGCTGGGCTAGCTCCCAGGTGCGAGGGGTACCGGCGTGCTCGGTATGGGGCCAGGACTGGTTCTGGCAGGCAGGCTGGGTGCAGCCACAGCACATGGGAGGGGGAAAAGGAGAGGCAGGTGCTCACTATACCCAGTGACTGGGGTCGGAGAGCAGCGTATGTCCTCTTCTTGGTTTTAATAGAGGTCTGGTGGTTGTGGCTGGGAGGACATAGCGGTGATGAGTTGTGTAACCTCCTCAGCACTTAATGCAGTTGTTCAGGACATAAGATATCCTTCATGTATTTTGTTTTCATTTTCAGTATAAAGTGCTCTCTGTTCTCCCGGGATCAGGGATGGGTATTGCTGTATCAACACCGTCTACACAAAAAGTAAGTAGCTGGCTGTACCTGTAGTGCTGTGTTTGACTTCATGGTCCTTTGCTCATAAAGTCTGTGCAGATACATTTTATGCCATGGTTGGTTTAGGAAGAAAATGGACAAATGAAAAATATTACTAACTCTGCCATATATCCCAGGTTCTAGTAGAGAAAAGGATTCTTATGTCCTTATTAATATACTTCGAGTACAGTTCATCTCCTGTTCCTATACCTAGAGGAAGAGTTTTGTTTTCTGGACTGATAAAATCTTTTCTTTGTTCTGTCATTTAGCCTTTGGTGTTCGGTGCCATGGTACACAGAGATGAAGCATTTGAGACAATTTTCAACCAATATGTGAAAATAACCTCTGCATCATCAAGCAGCGAAAGCTAGTATTATCTTAGAAGATCTAAAGGAAACTTTCTTATTTTACAACTTGGTAGTGGAAAAAATGAACATCCTCATCTATTTTGCAATAATTTTTCTTGTCTGGTCGTTTATATTCTATCTGTTACATAAATCAAGTGTATTTTATATATGCCTTCATGTTTGTTTTTAAGGTTTTTGTAAAAAAAAGAACAAAAAAACAAAATGAAACAAAACAGTGGAAGTGCTATCATCACTATTAGCCTTGCACATTAAGCACTTTTAATGTTTATTTACTGACATTAAAAGCTGGGAAGATGCATAGAGAAATGACTAGATAACAAAATGACGCAGATTGATCCCTTTAACTCCACTCATATCCCTAGGGATATATTTGTCCCTTTATCCTAATTATTTTTAACCTGAGATGTGAGAATGGTGACTGCAGCAGCCTGAAGTCTGTTTCTTCAAATCAAGAGTTTTCAGTTGAGTAAATACTAAAACTGAGAGCAGCACCAAGGAAGTATTAGCTTCTTAGTATTTCTGTATTTATAACTGTGTTTAAAATAACCCCTTAGGGCTAATTCTCACATCATAGATATTTTACTTACCTGGTTAGGTTCAGTTTTTCCTACACACAGAAGTTTGAATTGCTTGTAAAGTGAATTGGAGGAGAAAGTTTGTAACTATATCTTCCTTTCCTAGTTAACCAAAGTAAGGGGAAGGAAGGCAGGCAGATACTTTTTATAAAAGAGGGCACCAAAATGTTGTTCCTAAAATGTTAGGCATCATATATTTGTATTTCTGTAGATACTTGTCATAGAAGGGCTCAACTGTTGTACATGTTGTATGTACAAGGTGTTTGTATGTTAATGCATTGAAGACTTGCAGGCTTTTTGTGGTGAGGGAGGTGGGAATAATTAAGAGACATGACTTTTAATTTAGCTTCTCTCTGGAGTTAGCTTGTGATAAAACCCCCACTATAATATAGCAGCTGAAAGCATTAATTCCTTTTCAAAGCGTAATTTTAGGGGCATTGCTATGTTGCCATCTTTCCCCTTGCAGAATTAGATTTCCATAACAATTAAAGCCAACTGTAAGGTAAAATGTGAAGGCTGTGCTCCTCCAAACTCTCTCAGGCCTGTCTAGCAGCAAAGCACACATTGACCTTTGTCTTTAATATTAGAAAGCTTTTATACTCTATATAATAGCACCCATCTGAGAGGTTTAGAATTTTATTAGCATTTTTACGAAAGCACAGTAGGAGTTATGCCAAGCCTTCCCGTATGTCTTCTCCTTTGCTGTGTCGTTTGAGTTGAGTAGTATGGATGCCTTCAGACATTATATGAATGTCCCCAGAAAAGCAATGGAGATGCAAATTCTTACATGAAAATGGGACTTAATTTCATGGATTATTTTTTTTTCTCTCTTTCTTTCCTTTTTTTTTTTTTTCCTTCAAATGGGGATTTTCTTTCTTTATAGGGAAAGGGGTCAAACGAAGGAGAGAGAGGGAAGACAAACACCAAAAGGTGTTCAACTCTTAGCACAGTTTCTAATTAAAGTCTTTCAGCAAATGGCAACAAATGCAGCAGCAATGAAGGTGGCAAACTGCACAAACCTTATTTCAGTCTGGCCATGGAGAGGTATGATGTGAAGAACTTAATATGAACTTGATGTGAATAAATATTGTTGAATATTGTGATTTGGTTGGGTAAAGTGAAACACTGGCAGGTGAAACTGCCCTGGGTGGAAGCGTAGACAAGAATGGGTGAGAATCCACCATAATGTCTATTTGTGAGTTCTCCTTTTAGAGTAGCACTTGAAGACGTCTTTACATGTCCTGAAAAAGGGGTGCATTTCTAACACCTCCTTAGGTATGGTGTAACGTAGGGCTTGCAAACAAAATATTATTGAAGCTGGTGAGGAATCCATTTTGCCACCATATAATATGGATGTAGCTTGACAGTTTATCGTTTATTCACTTTACACATTCAGGTTTTATGTTTAAGTAAAAGTTCCTGATCTTAATTTTTTTTTTCTCATCAAACCTACTTTAAAAATCAGTTAATTTCTTTTTGTAATTGCTGTGTATTACCATTTGGCTTTCCTTTCTAGAAGCTTCCTTGAATAGTAAGTGTGGCTAACAAATAGGCATTAAAATCGCTTAATGTTATATAAATCTTAATCAGATTCATTCATTTTGTCTTAAGAAAAAAATCCCTTGGGTGTGTTCAAGGTTGTCCTTTTTTTTGAAGAAACAGAAAACTATATTTTTTACAGAGAGCATGCTCTTTTTCTTATTTTTGTATCATTTTTCAAGTGTAATTTCTACCTTCACTCTGATCATAACAGTAGTTTCAGTAGGAAATCAGTTGGCTTGCACTTATTACCTCCTCCCCCTCCCACCCTTCACTGGTTGACCCTACTGTATAGGGTTGTCCTAGATTCTGGTTCCTGGAGGAGCTATAGGTCCTATGCTGATGGTGCCAGGACAATTAACCATACCCAGGCTTCAGAGGGGGAGGAAAAAAATAATGATACTTTTCCCAGACTGGAATGCCTCATGTACAATATGCTCTTAAATGTTTTTTTTTCTAGGCAAAGTAATTAGAAACTTCTGATGAAATCTGATGTGTTGATGTTTGAAATTAATCCGCACATCAACAGTGTGAACTTAAAAGTTGGCGATTCTCAAAGCAGTAAACGTAGTGCAAACTGCAATGCAATGTTGTTTCATTCTAATTATAGAAAACAGACTGGATTTTTTGTTTTTTAATGAAGTTGTAATATAACTGACAAACATCAATGTACATATTTTGCAATGTTCACTTTACACTGAGCTGTCCAGCTTCCTGCTCCATACCTGCTCCTGTGGCATACATGATTCTGAGACTAGAAGGTAACCTCGGTGTGTTTACTTATGCTTTTCTTCCTGCTAAGCCCTCCCAGGTTTGGAGGGCAGGCAGGAGTGAGCAGTGAGTAAATATCTACTTGACTTGTATAATTACACTGAAGCTGTCACTTCAAATTCCAATCTTCCTGCATAGTTTTGCAGTATAGCCAGCCTGGTGTAGTTCAGTAACAGGCTGGGTTGTACCACTTAATGTAAAGTGCTTCTAATAGCAGAAAGTGGTGTTCTTGTCACTGTCTGTTTGCTGTTTATATTTGCAGTTCTGTTGATGCCTGTGGTTCATTGCTGGATCATTCACACCTAATTGGATTTAAGTTCTTTAGAAGTGCATTGGTTAGTTTGAGTCCCTTTTAAAGATAAGAGGAGAAAAAAGGGAGATGAAAACTGACTGCTTTAATTCTTTATGGGTGACCACTTAAATTCAAAAGTCACAAACAGCTGAAATATGAAATCATGCCTTTCTGTGCGCTGTAGCTTTTGTGAGGCAAGATTGAATGAGACAAGCTATTTATTTAGTAGCAACATCACACAGGATGCCAGCAGAAAACCCTACCCTTGTTCCTGCAGAAAAAGAGAAAAGAGATTTTACCCAATCACGAGGAGATGAAAGGTTGTACTTTTTTTTTTCAGCTACTTACACTTGTATTAAAACCACTGGTAGTTTTTATTGAATTCTGTACATTTTGGCAGATGTTTAATTTCTACTAATCATTGAAATAGAATGGATGTTAAAATTTTTATGTCTGAAGTTCGAGTCTATATTTTGAAGTTGTAAATAATTCATTATCAGTGTAACTTTTGTTTGACAAAAGACTTATACTGTATGAAGAATGGAAATAATGAAATTATTTGCCCTGTACATTTTTTAAGAAAACCTTGTTTGTTTAAAAAGTCTTGTATAAATTATAATTTTTATTTAAATAAACCTAAAAATGCTTTGTGCTAATGCCTTTTACAAACTTCTGTAATTTATCCATCAAAATACACCTGATCTCTTGGAACGAGGTGAGTTAGTGGGGTTTGGTAGATTCATAAACCACCACAAGTCCATCACTGAGGGGAAGGCGGGTGGGTTTTATTTCTTGCTACTTTTGAAGCCCAAAGAGCATGCTTTTATTTTAAATAATCCAGCTAATGTGTTGGAGAATGGATGTGTATGTTTGGTTGGATCTTTGGATGTGCATCTGTCTCTTTGTAATGATATGGTTAATTTAAGGGATGAAAAAGCAACCAGTGATTTCTAAGATGCTGCCACTGCAAGAGGGTATGGGTGAGATGAGGCTGTAGGAGTACAGGCTCATACCTGCCAGAGCTCCTTCATGAAACAAATAGCTGCAGACTGTTCCAGGTGAGCACCAGAAGCCCTTTTCCATGCCAGGGCTTTGCAGTTGGCATGTTCAGCGGCGTCATTCCAGATCCAGATGCGGCTGTTCTGCTGCAGCATCTGCAGTCAGTTCAGCTCATTGGTCAAACCAGCATGCACTGCATTGCTGAGCCTTTGGCTCTGCTGCTGTGTAACCTGTAACCCTGCTGGGGATAAATGGCAGGGCCGCTTTCTCCAAGGTGTATGCCAGGGAGACTCGCAGACCAGTACTGGCTTTCACATGGGGACATGAACCTTTGTCTGCAGTTAGAAATCTGATATGAGGAGTGAGCTGCTGGTCATCTAATACAGACCTGTTTGCCTGTACAATACTCCTTTCTGTGTTTTGCTCAGCTGAAATAGATCAGTTTGGGACAGATCTTGCAGGTGTGAATGTGGGCTGTGCCATTTATTTTGCTATTTAGTTTTCTCATGATGGCAGCAATGCATCTGGTGCTTTAATGGTGCTTTTAAGCTGGTATTATGTGTGTTCTGACAAATCTTCACTTATTTTGATAATGCTTATCTTCCCTCATTAAATATTTGTGCAAGATGAGTTACATCTGCAGCAGTACTTGCAGAGATGGGTTCAGCCCCGCCAGCCTGAATGAAAGGTGATAGTGGAAGGTGAGCACGGAGCCTAGAAGTCTCATTCTGGCTATAGACTGCTTGGCCCTTGGGAGGAAGGGGCAGGCTTCCTGAGAATGGCCCTTGCTTTCTCTAGTTGGCTTTAGCAATAGAATTGAATTGAATGAGCTCTTTACCTGCTCTCCATGCAACTCCAGCACCTATGCAAGGAAAGGAGACATGCTGGCAGTGGTCTGCAGTGTCACCAGCACATGCTGGCTTAATGCAGAAGAGCAGATAAAAGCATGGTCTTGTGCAGTACCTGGATTAACAGTAAAGGACAGCTGCAACATTCAGCTTGGAGAAACTAAGGGGTTATTTGCTGTTACTTTTAACTAATCTTTAAGTTAAATCTGAGTTCCTCTTCTGGATCCCTGGCTTCACTAAATCCCTGTTCAGCCATTTTTCCACAAAGCTGAATGTTTTACCCACAAGTTGCTGGCTCATCTCAGGCCTTGAAATATTTCTTTCCTGCATCATGAATAAAAGATAATGAAGATGTGAGGGCTTAATTTTCTGTCCTAGAGAAGTTGAGGCATTGCAAAGGGATCAGTCCCTTTCAGCAATAGTGACCTCACCGGGCTGTGGATGCTCTAGAAGTTAAGTGGGCTTAATGCAGTGCCTCAAGGATGTAGTTGTGAACATGTCTTCAGCATGTTATTTAGCCTGAACTGATGCTGTATTTGGCCAGGTTGGGAGACTGAGGAAAAAACATGAGGGGAAGATAAACACCTGTTTCTGTGTTTAAATAGCTGCCTCTTCTCTGCGTCTTGTGAGCTTCACAACCTATTTGAGATGTGAATTAAGGAAAATCTGCTTTTGCATTCTCTACTGAAGCTCCATTGTTGCCAGTTTCCATGGGAAATAGTTGTATGTGGATAATGATTTCCTTGTCTTCCTTTTTCACTATGCTTTTCTATGAAATGCCAAATTTGTTTATTCTATAGCTTCTGTCTCATGTTTCACTTTCCCCTAATTCTCTAGATATGTTTTCCTTTTTTCCCTTGCTTCTCCTCATGTACATATGCAAACTTTCCTCCAAAACCTCTTGGCCCATTTGGCGTACTGCATCCCTTTATCTCCTGCTCTATGCTTCACCTCTGGATGGTCTCGTGTGAATGGGTAAAATCCTAGTAACACAATCATGCCTAGATCAGGAATCTTCATCCTCACTTCATTTAGTAATTTGTGGCTGTCTTCAACCTTACAGTCTGAAAAGTTCAAGCTGAATTATGTCAAAGAGAAGTTGTTCTTTATTCTTTCCTAAATTGCCCAAATTTCAGGTTTGCTGTCTCTGTGACTACTCAAGTTTTGAACTGAGAGCTATTTATCTGTTTCCTTTTATCTGGGTTTTTATGCTTCAGAGTTCCAGTTTTCTTCCTCTGTGTAAAGAATAGCCTCATACTTTCAGTCCTGATTATTTAGAAATGCTGACTGACCATGTCCTGATGAACATGTCACAGGTTCACTGAAGCTGTGTCCACGTTACATCTTTCATTCTGTGTAGATTGGAGCTAAATTACTCTGTCTGCTGGTTTGGATTACCCAGTGGCTTGTATTTCCCCATGATGATATGTGATTCTTTACTCCTGATAATCTGCATGACTGAGGGAGAAGATGGTTCTTGAAACTGCTGAGAGCTCTTCAGAGCAGAAAATCTCTACTTGACAAAGCCAGTATTACTGGTGCAAGCTTATGTCAAGCAAGATACATGTCTGCAGGAGAATAAATGTAGAAGTAAGTGCCTGCTGCAAAACAGTGTTTGGAAAAGACGAAACCTAAGCTAGTATTTGCTTGGGAATCTCTGTGCTAGTCTCTTGAGCACACGGTGTGAGGGTTTAACCTCACAGCTAGGTCAGTAAGAACTTCTGAAAATCCTCTCCTTCATTTCTTCAGGTCAGCTAACTATTTGGGAAGGGCTCTCCTAGTGGAAAGTCTGTGAACCAGCTTTGAACAGTCATCTCCAATCAGAAATGCCATTAGCCGCTCACTAACGTTAACCACCCACACAACTAGAATAAGAGTCAAATGAGCTGTTTATAAACCCAACAATCCTTAAAACCACCATGAAATGCTATAAATGTGCAGAACTGAACTCTGCATGAGAAGCGTTTGGGACTATAAAAAGGTCAGTGGAAAGGATTAAATCTTCTAGATGCTATTTGTGGAAAAACTGGGGGTGGGTCCAGAACTGTGAACTAGCAGCAACCTCCGCTGGACATTTTGTTATGGAGCATGTATACATATATATATATATATGTGTATACACACACATATATAATGTATCATCTGCCTATACATGGAGCATGTATACATATATATATGTATACACACACATATATAATGTATCATCTGCCTTTATTCTTAGGGGTTGGGGTTTGTTATATTAATGCAAGGCTTTCTTGTGTTCAGATGGGTTTTCCTTGCAGTACCCTGTGTTTTGGATGCTTGCAGGAAATGTATGAATGGGGTCGGTTAGCGGAAAGGCTTTCAGAAAGCTTCCAAAGCTACGCAGGTTGTCATTATTGCCTGCAGTGCTCACCTGGCAGGGAGATGCCTCAGAAAGCCATCTTCTTGCTCATGGATGTAGCCCCATGTTGTTTCTCATGGTGCGTTAACCCTGCGACTTGCCAAAATAAGCTCATGAAGTGGTGATGGATGTGTCTGCACTCGCACCCTTCTGCAGGGTGAGTGGCTCTAGGCACTTTCCAAGGAAAGCAGAGCACAGTGGAGGGGAGTTAAGCCCCACCCTTGTTCTAGGTGATGCAGGACTGAAATGGTGTCAGCTGGAAGGGAGGACAGATGGGATGCGGGGGACAGGCAGTTTTGAGTCCAAAACTGGCCTTGTGATGGCTGTGGGTGCTCCCCACACCATCTGTAGCTGAGCAGAGCTCAGAAGGACTTTTAGAAAAGGAGGGGAGATGCTGTCTTCAAAGATGTGTAAATATGTTGAGACTCTGCTTTTAAATATACCCCAAAAATGTATGAGGAATATTTATGTGAAAAATGGGGATTTACTGGATTGCCCTGATACAGCTATTTACAAATACAGCCTTTATGCGAGGTTGCCGTGTGGCAAACACCAGCTGTATTTGTTGACTTTTGGGGAAAGTAAACACACCAAAAAATTATATATGGCCTCAGCGAACAGTCTGGGCTTACTGCTCTATTGACTCATGCTTCAGATTTATTCCTGCTATTCAAGTAGTTTTACTCTTTTATGTTCCTGACAACGCAGACTGCTTCGTGAAGACTTAGTGTGCACCATACAGTTTTCTCCTAACTCGTATGTGACAGGAGCCTCCTTCTGCAGGTGTGCCAGGCGCCAGGTCCAACTGCGTAAATACCTTGAGAACACCAAACTCTGTCCTCCGCGCAAGCAAACATTTCAGTCTGACTGCGGTTTCATGCCAAACAGCTCCCTGCCTCCTGCTGCCTACCTTATGCCAGCACTGGGGCTCACCAGACCTTCCTAAAGTGGCAGGAACCCAGCCCCAGGTGTGGTTGTGAGGACAGTAACAGAGCTGATATGCACCACTGCCTCTGTGTTCCCCTTTTCAGTTTTGCAATGCCCATCAGGTTTCAGAGGTAAATTTTGAATATAAATTGGATAAATGTTAAAGGCTGATCCTGAGTTTACAATAGTAAATAATAATGCAAAGAAACTGAGCTAAAACTGGTGTCTGTGTGTGCAAGTTAACTGCACGAAACCTGGTCGTGCCAATAGTTGAAGAGCTGGTGTGCTGCTAGAGGTAATCTCAGAATCTGCTTCCTTCCAGCATTGACTCCTCCCCTGCTCCTTCTCTAAAAAGAGCTGTCAAAAAGAAGGTGAGGGAGATGCTTGACATTTCTGGGGGCCATCACTCTCAGAGCAGGTGGGAGGGAAGCCAGGAAGCATGGCCAGGAGAGGCTGAGGGCTTTCCACTGGAGCACATTGTCTCAGGGGCTGCGCTGAG